AAAGACACATTTTTCGATAATCATTTAGTGCAGAAAGACAGATTACTTTCTCTAAAGAAAAACAAATAAAACAAAATTTTTTGATGAACCGACAGAACATATGCTGTACTCTGAGGATATATACTTAAATATAATAAGCATATGTTCGGAATGTAAACGATACAATTGATAATAAGAGGAACTCTAATAAAGTGGTATTCCATCTGTACAAGAACTTCTTCTATCAAAAATCATCACAATTACTTGTTTGCTTATTTTGTACGTTGGATTACGGTAGAGTTTAACAAGAAGAAAATGTTTGTAATACAAATCATCATATATTATTGAAAACAGAAATTTCGTATGATGATGATTCTGATTCTAGATTATTTCTTATTTAAAGGATTATTTAATGTGATAGAACAAATAAATTGTACAGTTTATCTAAACTTGCAGAAAACTATTTATTGATCTTTATGTAAGTGAAAATTTTCTGCTATAGAGAAAGTTATAAAAATCAGAAAAAAAATCATCCATCAAGTTTTCAGTATATTTTTGTTTTCTATGAAAATTCTAAAAAGTAATTCTGCCATTACACGTTCAATTTTTAATTAAAGTCAAATAATTCGAGTTTCAGAACAATCCATATTAGTATATGAAGATCTTAATTATATGAATTTTCTATTTAGTTGCTTTCATGCTATCATGATAAAAGTTTTATTTTATTATAAGCTTTGAAAGAATAGATATTGGTAAAGTTTACAGATCAAACATCATCCAGTGATATAAAACTTGGGGAGAAATGTGAATCAATATCAAATACACATATGGTGTGGATATAGGTGCGGTTCTTTCCTTCACCTTCACCTCAAACTGGAGAAGATGACATCCACACACTCGCACAATCAATAGACAGCGTTTAGCATGTTCTCTCTATAACTAGGGTTGTTTATTGAAGAAACAAAAAACGATGAAACTTAGGGCAATCATCGACAGCGTCGTCAACGTACAGAAAGAAGCCATGCAGTAGACAACGTTTATTATTACATTGACTGTACACCACATTCGATTGTAAAAGTACTAGAAAGTTACTGATTTGTATCACGTTTTATTACATGGCAACATGTTCTATTATTTGGGTCGATGCCCTAGTGAACATGAACGAGAATCATCGACATACTCAACAACGACTACGAGCTATTAAGAAACATGTAATGATATTTAAAGATCGAGAACAATGTGAAAATCATATTCGATCAGTGTCGTCTGACAAATAACTGATGCTTATTGTTAGCGAAGAAATGGGACAAGAATTAGTGCCTCATATTTATCAACTGCAACAAATAGCATCAATCTATATCTATTCTGTTGATAAGAATCAGAATGAAGAATGGAAAAATCTATATAGTAAGGTGAAGCAGTGTTTTTATGTGTTGTTTACTCGGTATTGTTTTCATTCCTGGAAAAGTTTTTGATAATATGTTTGTAGATTCAGGTTGTTGTTACTTGTTTTGATGAACTTATTGGTCATATTGAATCTGCTAAAAAGAGTCAAGTATTGATAGTGGAACCGAAACCTATCAAAAGTGATTTATCGTTTCCATTGATTTCGATCATCAATGACGATCCGTTCGATAGTCCAATTGCTTTCATCGAATGCTTCATTCGAATGGAACCTAGTCCAACAGAAGTCGACGAATGTATTGCATTTGAAAAGGCTGAACATAAAAATAATTCAGCTCAACTAGTCAAGATTAAAGAGTTTCAGGAAACCTACTCACCGGAACAAGCTCTTTGGTGGTATACACGACAATCATTCGTCTATAGGATGTTGATGACAGCTGTACATCAGCAAAGTATTCGTTTACTATTCCTCCTTCGTTTTTGGATTTGTGACATCGATCGACAATTGAAAGATAGTCAATGTCACGTTCCCATACAAGTCTATTGGGACGGATGAAAATCGAATGATGAATTTGATCTTCTTCAAGCATCAACCGGTAAATTGATTTCTATCAATACATTTCTTTCTACAAGTGCAAGCCATGACGTTGCTTTATCCTTCGTGAAACATTCACCAGATCATTCGAAAAAAATTCTATTTGAAATCCCAGTTGATCCACAGACAATACCTAGTAGACCGTTTGTTGACATCAGTTCATACTCCTTCTATCCGTCTGAAAGAGAAGTCCTATTCATGATTGGTTCCATATTTCATATTGGCAATGTTTATTGTGCTGATAACAGGCTATGGATAATTTGTATGACATTAGCGACTGTCAATGAACACAATTGGAAAATGTTCCTGCAACAGATGAAGAAAGTTAAAAACGACGATGGGAAACTGGACATTGTCACATTCGACAAAATCCTATATCAAATAGATCGATTCGATCGAGCCAAAAATTACTATCATCGTCTATTGAGTGAATTTCCATTCGACAATCATTTATCATCGATAGTTCATTCTGGACTTAGCAAAATTGCTACTAGCAAAGGCACATATCATGAAAGCAAACAATAGTACACGAAATCATGTGCGATCAAAGTTGAGATCCTATTTGAATGAGGTCACTTATGTTAGAGAGGTTCCACAAAACAATCGAAAAATTAAAGAATATGGTATATTTCCGATTTTGAATACACTGCTACAGAATGATAGGCCACTTCATATCAGGGACGTGGCTAAGCCTCCAAAACAGAAAGGGAGTCAACAGACAACGGGATGTATGCTCTTGAGGTTTCAAAAATGGGTGGAGGATGAGTGTAACAAACCCCACACCCCTGCAGCTGGTCGCTACACCCCTATCTCATGCCATACTCGAATGCTCAAAACAGTAGCGTCTGAAAATGTGTTGTGAATCGTGCAGAGATAATCTACTGATCGCACTGCATTTGATGCCAAAAAACTGACGAAATTGGGTCATCATTGCATTTCAACTTTTTTTCTTAGCTACTCTATTCCTATGGTAAACAGGCTATATAGTAACAAATAGGGCTCATTTCGCTCCACAAAACGGTGTGTTTGACTCTTCTCTTAAAGCACAATATAAATGTGAGAATGTCCGAAAATCGTATTTGTTTTTCGTGTACCTGATATCCTCATTTTGCCAGAATTTCGGCCAAATATTGTGACATGTAACGACACCCCAGTGAAAAATGTTTGTATGAAAATTCCGATTGTTTTTGGTTATCAGTGTGAAAATCTCAATTTGTTGGGTAACTTCTCACTTTTTTCATAAATTCCGATTAAAATTGGTTGAAAAAATAATCTATTTCAACAATTATTCTTGATTATCACGATTGAAATCCGATTTTAACCTTTTTAATCGATTAAAATCTCAATCGATAAAAATCTAATTCAGAGATTTTCATTTGATTGTCAACGGTTACAGGGGGGGGGGGGGGGGGGTAGTAAATCGATTTTAATCGTTAATCAATCTTAAGCTGTTCAATTGATAATCAAGGTGTTGGAGAATATCTGTAAGATCTATAGAGAACCAAATGATTTGAGCTAATACAAGGCGTTTTTGATCGGAATATTAATTGCTACTATAACAACGACAAAAAAAATGTCATGTAATATTTATTAAGACAGAAGTTCTAGAACAAATGAGATGTACATGATTATAAACAACATAAGTACTTTTTACAAAGCATAATTTAGAGAAAAGTATCTAGTTAAAATTCATTTCAAACAATCACTATATCATCCAGAACATGAATCATGTTTAATCGATCTTAAAAAGTGGTAGTGAAGTGAAACTGATTATTTTCGTAAGTAGAAGACGCGTATGAGATGAGTACAATGCTGATGATACCAATTACAAAAGAATTTTATATACACAGAAGTATTACATAGAAAAAGGTAAAAATATGCATATAATTGATTAAAATCGATTAAAATATTTTAATCAATTTAAGTTCGTTTTTTAAATGACTTCTGATCTAATTGCACCATCTCAATTTGAAACAATTTATGTAATAGTTCCAAATTTACTTCATTAGCTGGAGTTTAGCTTGATGATAACTTCATGGTTTTTAAACACGAGCAATCCAAAAACAAAATCGTGGAAAAATTAGAGTATCGCGTTCGGATTTCGAAAAAAGCGCTCATTTTTAGTGTGTGTGATTAAAATCAATTATGACAATAACATGTTAAAATCGATTAACAGGCAATAGGAAATTGAAACAGATTGAGAGATAATAAGAGATTGAATTTGGTTAACAGGTAGCATAGAATTGGAAAAAGATAGTTATTGTCTGAAGAAAGACGGAAAAAAATTCTGATTTTAATCGAGAGGAATCGGATTTCTTAGTCAACTAAAATTCTTCTAATAGATAAAAATTCTTATCATGGATTATAATCAAAATTATCATTCGATTTTTGTTTCACAAAAATTAGCTTATCAATTCTGATTAGGCCCACAGAATTTTTAAATTTTAATCGATTTTAATCCTTAAAACTTTCCACCGAGAGTGTCAATGTGAAGCTCGTTTAATACTGCGTCAAAGTATATATTGGGTTTTCTCTAAGTAAAAACGTTCTAGAGTCGAGATAATTGAGACCAAAATAGGGTGTGGGTACAAAATGTCTTGTTAGTAGGTTGGTAACAATAGGCTTGACAAAACTGTTACAACGGCGAGGATCGAAAAAATGTTTTTGCATGTTATACTAATGATAATGCTCTAAACTGCAAGAATCTTTTAGACGAAGTTTATGAAATTTTGTTGCATCACTTAAGCTTTTGTTTGACGAATTAGTTTTTATAGAGAAAGACTCTGGAAAGGTTTCTCAAAAGACTCGGGCTGCTTATGAATGTGCTTGTCCGATCTAAGATCTTGAAGTTTTGTTTCGTTGAACAAATTATTATTCAACTCGGTAGAGTTATGCTACATCAAATTGAATTATCATGAAAAAGATATTGAAAATTAATGTTTTTTATTTCAATGTTTATATTTAACAAATTAATTTTTGTTAGTAGTTTTAACAAAACAAAATAGAACAACGAAAGAAATTATCACAGATTTTCTTCAGTTGATGAGTCTTCATCAGATTTTGTCTAATTGAACAAAAGAAAAATTAATCAGCAAAAAAATTTCATCAATAATAGACTCTTACTTGTTTTTTGTTGGGTATAGAATCATTATCATCATTTGAACGTTTTTTCTTTGTTACAGCTTTTCCTAGTGGCCCCCATCTTGCATGTGGATTACCCATAAAACGTATTAATTTATTTTTTCTAGCTTCTGATTCCCAATCAGGATGTTCAGTAAAATCTACTTGAATTGTTGATGGTTTTGTTAAAAGATGATAATAAGATGAATCAGTATTTAATCGTTCTGTAGTTGCACGTTTTGTTGATGATTGTTCAGCAAATGCACGCATTATGTCCCAAACAATATGATGTGGTGCATTAGTTTTTATTGAATCTTGACGAGCATGAGATGTTGATACACGATAACCAGCATTTAATAAAGCTGATCTTAAAACAAAAAAAAAGTCAATCATTATAGTTCTATTTGAATGAACAAATGATGAGCATAATGATTACTTGATAAGTTTATTTTGTGGAATATGTGTATGCATAACACGAGCGAGCTTTCCATTATCAAAATATAATGGATCAGGTAATTCTTCTTTTACAACATATAACATACTTAACATTCGATCTCGATAGGCATAACTTAATGTATAGAAATTAATTTTAAATAAGTTTTCTATCGATCTTTTTTTTTTTATTACCTATCTTCAGGTGCTTGTTCAATTGATGTAATAAGTTCATTAACAAAAGAATGATCAAATAAAGGTCCAAGCCAAATTGGACCACCCACTCGAAGACTAAATTTATATTGAAAGAAAAAAATGAATTCAAATGATCTTACTTCGACGCACAATGTGAACAATTTGTGCCTACTGGTGGTCCATGTGCATATTTAAATTTTGCATTACCACGTTCATCAAGTGATGCTTGTCCATAGGGTTGAAAAAAAAATGAACTACAATAGACACAATTGTATACTGTTGCTATTTCACCTAAAAATTATTATTTTAAAATGATTATAAAAATGATGAACATGACAAACCTAATTGACTTTGCGCTTTAGCAGATCCATAACCAATACGTACAAAAAGACGTACATAAAAATCAATAGACATACATAATAATGGTTCAATTATTCGATCATAACGAGCAGCTTGCATATGTAATGTATAAAGTATCATACGAAGTGCAAATTCATGACAAAATGGTTGATGTAATGGTATTGATCCATATTTGGAATAACAACTTTATAAAAACTTAATTTATTAATATAAAGTTTAATTTTTCAATTTACCTATGAGGATTATTTCCACATAATGATGCCATATCAGTAGCTAAATAGAACAAGAAAAAAATAGAAAATTCAAAAAAACCAAAAAAAGAAAATTTCATTACATTACCTGTTATACAAAGAACACCATTCTTTTTAATACATTGTACTGCTCCATCTATACAAGTAAGACTGGATAAGTTTATTGAAATTTAAATTAATCGAAAAAAAAAGAACAAAGAATATTATTTACCTAAAAATTGTGCTGGTGTACCATATGGATCTAAATCTACAACATGAAATTGACGATCTACTTTTCTATGACTGTATAATAGATTCATAGCGTCATCATGACTTGCTTGAACAAGATGTTTTACATCATTTGAATCAATATTTTGTTTTATTGATTCAACTGCTCCTGCATCAATATCATTTGCATAGATTGTATCAATACCTTAAATTATATAATATATAAAAGATTATTAATTTGAAATATTGTTTTTTTTCTTTTTCACAATAGAAATAATATATTTCAGTTGATACTAGAAGAAATATTGAATGTACTAAATGATATACTGATTTGATAAACATACAATACAATTTTAACATTGCTTAGTATTCAAAACTTTCAAAAGTATTACACGACTTAAAAGAAGAGTAATGAATATAGGCTTCGAAAAGAAATATGTTGAATATAGTCGATCAATTTTATTAATCTCATAAAATTCTCACTATGTATCATAGGATTGTAGGTTTCCATATTTATGCAATTTAAAGTAGCGAAATCCGTTGAATTATTCAATCTAGAATAGCATATCGGAAAATATATACAACAAACAAGTTAATACTAATGATGTACAAGAAGTATTTACTATTTTTCATCTAAATGTCTACACAATAGAAATATACAAGATGAACATTTCGAATAGTATTTCTTCATATTTCTAATATTTTACTTTTTTTTTTCGATTTTCATACCTGGAATTTCACGTGCATATCGAATAGATCGTAGTCCTGTAGCTGATAATGCTTCGGCAATTTTCAATCCATTCTCTTGTCGTACACCAGCAGATAATTGATCAAATGGTATACAAGTTGCATTCGGATCATTCTTTTTAATTTTTTTACATTCATTTTCATGATGATATTTTGAAACAAGACGAAGACAAGCTACACTTAAATCACGATTAAATACTTGAGCTGGATTATAAAAAACAGCACCCTCGGGTAAATGAATATTTGCTTTGCCTTCTTTTACTTGTACATTATCGGTCATTATTGTTGAAAGTGAATAATCTTCGTCGTTAATATCAATAGTTGATAATCTACGATTAAGAATTGATGTTCGTATCAAGAAGAAATTAATATGTATACGTGATAAATGAGAAATCATATATATAAAAGCAAAAATTTCTACAGAAAAAAACAAAAAAAAAAAAAGAAAGAGACGATGTTCGAGGAAGAAAAAACAACAATAGATATTTTGTTTTGTTTTGTTTTGTTTTTTTTATAAAAAGAAAAAAACATGTTCATCATTTTCATTTTTCTCGAGATTTACATATCTTGTTCGAATCCAATTTTCACACATTTTTGCAAAATCTGTGTTTATGTTTGTAACAGATAATTGATCATGTTTTGATATCTAATAATATAATATTCATATTATTCATTCGATGTGTGTTGGTTTTTCATCATCAATAAAAAGACAAATCTTAGAAGTTGACTTTTCTTTTAATATTATCTATTTTAAACAGGATATATTTTTCGTCTTTTTCATATCTCCATTTTTTTTTTCTAAACAATAAGAATAATCACAAGAAAAAAAATGGAAGATCAAACAACGAAAAATTTATTTAACGTCGTTTTAATAATAATAATAATATCAATGAAAACCTATAATTAGTTTTATTTTGTTTCTTTTTCTTTTTTTTTTGATTAAATACAAATCATTAGTCTTATATATCAACAAGAAAGAAAGAAAAGGATTATTATGATGATGTGTTATTGGATGTGAACGGAATTTGTAAACGGGTTATTAATTCAAGTATTGATGGATATAATGAACATTCATCTAGAACGAATGAATCTATCAATAAAATTTTTAATAATATAAATAATAAAAAATATACTTTGGTTCATTGTTTCTCTTAATGTATGTAAAATTTTTATTATAGTTTGATATTTAACTTCGTTTCCCATAGTTGGTTGTTTATTTAATCCATCCCATAAAGTTGTTTGATTACTAATCATATCATGTATTAATGGAACAATAAATGTTGATGTATTACTAATATTTATTTGAGAATCATTTTGACTTATTCGAGAAATAAATTGAAACTAAATTATTTTTAAAATAAAAAATTTTATCAAAATACAAAACAGAAAATAATTAATAAGAAAATCATACCATAAAAAGAAATGATGATCGACTAGGCATATAATAGATTGCTGGTTGGCCAACTTGAGTAAAGCCGCTACCTTGGGGTATTGCTAAACACCAACGTGCTCGCCATAAATGATGACTTTCAGGATTCTAAAGAATTAACAAAAAAAAGAAAAAGATAGTTCAATGTTCTTTGAATTTTTATTTCAATTGATATTTATCACCAAATTATTAACATTAAAGATATACAGGATAGAATAGGATAATCTTGCACATCTCTAGTTCGCATAAATCATTTTCTAGATACAAAACTTTTCTTGTTTTATCATATCCATTGCCAAAAATATGAAATTTTATCGAGATAAATTATCTATCTAATTATATCTTTAGAACGATTTAAATAATATACATAATTTTGTATGCAAGCTTAGTATAAGTGACTTCTGTTTAATAGATTTCAAATGAATATAGTTTTATTAATCCTTAAATTAGAACTATAGGTGATTGTATAGTGAAAATTACAAATTAGATTTCCTGACAATGCTCTATAATTCTTTTGAAAGCTTTTCGATCATCTTATGACAACAGAATATAAACGATCTGAATAGTCCATGAGCGAAACGATTGTTGTTCATACAACTGATTTAAATCAACCTTTACTTTCGTAAATGAAAACAAAAGCCTATCAAAAATATATATATATATATATATATTCGTACTGTTTAGAAGATTTAATAATTAACATCTCATATAATTGTTATGTCTTATAATAAGTTAGATAAACTACAATAGATTTCTGTAAAACTAATTGATATTTTCATTAAGCTTATTTAATTAGACTCAAATATTGATGAATCAATATTAAAATTTGAAGATACCTGTTCAAGTCCGATAATTTTTACTAGATCTTTTAATATTCGAGGATGAATAAGTGAAAGCATTCGTTCAAATGAACCCATAGCTGTACTGAGATTTTGAGATGCTTGTAGTGATAAAATATCAATTGAAGGCATTATTAAATTTGATAATGGTGATAATGGAAAAAATGTATTATTAAAAAATATTTCCATTATCTGAAGTTCATCTCGTGACCAGAAAATATTCGATTGTTGTTGTTGTGATGTTGAATCAAATAAAGATATAAAACAAATTCGATATAGAGTTGTTGGAATATCGAATACAAATGATATTTGAAGAGACAAATGTTCTATTCGATATGTATCTTGTTCATTTGGTGTAGAACGAACCTATAAATTTGATTTTAATGAAACGAAAAACTTTTTTTTTTATTCTTACAGTTGGATTATTTGCATCAGCAGGTTCAGTAACAGCTTTAGCAAATTGTCTTACAAGAAGAGATGAAGCAAGAAATGATTCTAATTTTGACCATTGATGTCCATCAGGTGTAAAAAGCATTTGAAAAAATGTGTGTTGAGTCATATATACAGGATAATTAACTTTGGTTAATAACTCACGATTATAACTATAGAGTACTGATAATTGTTGATTATCTAAAGATGAAAAAAAAAACAACGAATTTTATTAAACTTGAGAAAACTATTAAATCTAACCAGTATGATCTGATCTGACGTTGGATGACATTGATGCTGAGGTAATAGGTAATGAATCTCGAAATATCACATCTGAAACAATATTTTTAATGATTAGAATTTTCTGATATTGAAAAGAAAATTATTTTACCATAAATATCACTAGGTGATGCAACTGGTGATTGTGTTGTTATTTCCATGAATGAATTTTGTAATATTGAATCATTTGTTGTGTTTAATGTTTGATTTGTCATTTGATTTGAACTCAGTGGTAGTAGGGATGCTTGCTGTTCCGAAAAAATAAAATCTTGTTCATGAAAACAATTTGTTATATCAGAAAATTCAAATGTTAAACCACGATCATCGGCATATACAGATAAAAATTCCTATAGAGATAGCAAAACAATTTTACAGTTTATTTTTATTTTTACTTTTTTTTTTGAAAATAAAATTTTACTTTAAGTCTAGGTATTGGTGCAAATTCAGATAATGAACTATTCAGTTGTACACTAAATGAACCATCACGAACAAGTATTAAATTAGGTCCACATATTTGAATATCGAGTGTAAATATTTGACCAAATATAAGACGCCATCGAGATTCAGTATATGGAACAAGTGCAAGAATCGCTTGAGCACAGCTACCCTACACATATAATACATGATACTTTTTAATTTAAATGATAAATACGAAAAGAAATAATATACATGTAGAACATGTATATGTTTGAAAAATTTTAATAGAAGTTAGTTACTAATATGGTTAAGAGAAACGATATGATGAATAATATATTATTACCTTCTCATATATCTATAATATTTGTTAACAAGTATGTTTAATCAAGCTAATGATTGAGATTATTTAGAAGTACGTTTCGCTATGTCAGTAGATCAAATTATCTTGATTTCTGTGACATTGAAGTGACTTATGTGTGACTCAAACCTGTTTATCAATAGACTGATCGAGCTTCTGACAGAATTAAAACGAAGACTAAAGTTGGATATAGATGTGTCAGTTTTGAATTCAGTTCCTCGGAAATTGGGAACATATAGTGTCTTGCTATAAAATCGAAGAAAATGTATATTCGAGTATCTCAGCGTGCAAAGATGTGCATCGCCCATGCGGAGAGTGGCTGTACCATAATCATTTCACTTGTGAAACTCTATTGCTAAGAATTTTAAAAAAAATAATATACTTCAAACGGTGAAAATTTAAGAGAAGGCATCTGATCATTGACAAACCCATAAGCTTTGAGATACTGTTTATTTTGTCACTCCATTTCATACCCATTTATTAAATTTATAAATTAAATGGTAATCAATGTTGATTGCGATTTCTTCTGATAAATAAATCGATCTAATTCAAAACTTAGTAAATTTCATTACGATGAGCATAATATTTTAATTTATTTTAAACTTAAATTTATGCAAATTTAACTATAAAATAAGTTAAGACGGAAACGAACATCCTATAAGTATATATATATATGTCCAATCACATCTTGCCTAATTAAATATTCACAAATGAAGCACTATTTCTAAAGAAATATTATAGAGCAACAAATATGTGGAAGAAATTGATAAAAAAAATTCAGCTACCGTTAGGCGCGGTGCGCATCACTATCCGCGCAAAAAAAAATCATCAAATGGATTCGTATTTCTTGAAAGCGGAACTCTAAGAAACGAAAACCTTGATACTACTAGTTGGCATTGCTCTGCTTTTGTTTGATATAAACAAAAATGTTAACATCTATAAATAATGTCCATTATTAATTTAACTATACATATATGTCTACCAACTCTATATATATGAGAAATCAACCAATATGAAAAAATTCTTTTTCTTAGATTATTCTATCAGTGATCCTAGAATTATTATTAAACTAGTTAACTAACATGATTAACAAAAACAATCGGTCGATTGAAACAATCTAGTCGAGCAATTGAAGACAATGGAATTGCTGTCATATGTAACAACTATAAGAAATAAAACAAAATATTATTGTATATATAAAATTAGTTTATTTCAAAAGAAAGAATTTTAGATTTTACTCGTATAAATTGTTTTAATGAACGTGTTTGATTTAAAAATAAAATTAATTTTCTACTTAATGTTTGATGATATGTTGGTAAAAATGTATTTTTTATTGTTTGAAAACGTAAATCAAATGTTCCTTCGACAATTGAATTTAATTCTTGTTGTGTTTGATTACTATTATATGTCAATGTTACCTAAATATTTAAAAAACAAAAAAAACAATATTTTAGTTTAAAAAAAGAAATTATTCCTATACGAACAGCATAAGCAAAATTTGGTCCATAATGAATTGTACATTTAAAAAAATTGAATGAAATTAATTTAGAAATTGCATGAAGATCAGTTAATTCTAGACAAAAAAAAAATATATATATATAAAGAAATTCTTTATATTATTTTTAATTAAACCTAATAATGATAATGAATAATTTTCAAATAAATGTGTTAATTCAAATGCAGCTCGAAGTTTACTATGAATACAATCGACTATTTTAATAGAAGTTTCTTGTGATGTTTGATTACAAACAACAATAGAATTATATGGAGCTAAATTAAAATAAAAATAATGATTTATAATTTTGAAATATTTTAAATATACTTTTAATAAAAGCGTTGTGAAAATAATTTTTATTGAATAAACTTAACTAGAATAAAAAAATTAGATATAAAATATATTCTTTGTATTTTATTAAAATTTTACATTTAGAGTCCATTGTCGTGTTGCAGATTTATGTTCACGCCCTATATCACGTACAATATAAGCTAATTGAATAGTACAAGATTGAATACGAGGCCAAAAATATTCATTAATATAACTGAGAAGTTCGGTATTTGATACAAATGAATCATCATCAGTTAATATTCTATTCAAATAATAATATCAATCAAATTAATAATTTTTATGCATAAAACTTACCGAACAATATCTAGATAAGGTATGCCTGTCCATGGACAGTAAAGAATATTTTTACAAATTGTTTTTTTCTGTTGAAACTATAAAATAAGCGAAAACATTAGAAAAAAAAAATTCATTCTTGCTTCTTATTTTAATCTCATTGACAATATTCAGAAGTAAATCAAGAGATATAATCAAAATAGAATTTTATAGATTTTCAAATTGATTGACAATGTCTTTAACAATTGTTCGAATTTCCAACAAATGATGAAACGCTTTGGAAGAAATATCAAAATGACTTGAACCTAATGCAGAAAAGGATGTGCTTGAAGTCCTGAATCATTTCGTTTAGGATTTCCCCTCAAAAATCGATGAAAATGGCGCTCGAATTATATGTGTACTTTGTTATACAATAGTAAAAAAATTTAAGAAGTGCCTTCGAGAATTCTGGGATGGGCGATCAAAAAAAACATAAAAAGTGAAAAAGAATTTCTACTTGATCTGAAAAAAATCAAATTTTTCAAGCAGAAAGCAACGGAAATTTTTGAAAGAAACGAAGTGCTAATAAAAAATCATGGCATTTATAAAAGACAGATCTTAGACTATCTTTCCATGCATTTATCTCGAATTTCATGTTTTTCACGAAAATTGACTTTTTTGGAGATGAAGAAAGGACATTCATAGATATTTTCATATTAATAAATCTACTTGCAGAACTGTCTTTTATAGAGAAAAAGTACAGTAGAACGCGCTCTTCAAAATAACTATAAACTGTTCCCTCTAACTTATTTAATAAGAAAGTTATCAGTCTAGAAACGATTACTAACTGTAACTGAAGCAGTCAACTCGTATTTTGATATAGATTTGAAATTATTTTATGAGGAATCAGATATCTAATACAATAACTAGATAGAGCCGTTATCGTATATTAATTCTGTTTTTTTAAAAAGATGAAGAATCCTATATGAATAACGAAACGTTACAGCTGAAAAAACACATTTCTTTGATTTTATCTCTTGTTAATTGTATTAATTTTTTTCACTGTTGTCCTAAATTGTTCTTTTCCGAAAGTTCCTATCGTCCCACATCTTAATCGACTTTTTAATATTTGATTTATTTTCCGTCT